TGATTCAGTCTCAGGTAACTCCAGTCATGAGGGAATGAACTTCTGTTTCCTTAGCCACTGAGTTGGTTGTGTTTTGTTATATCAGCTGGAAAGAGACTAATACATTCTGACACCAAAAAGAGAAGATGCCAGACATGGTGGTACATGCCTGTAATCCCAACACTTGGGAGGTAGTGGCAGGCAGATCTCTGTAAGAGAAAAGTCAGCCTGGTCTACATAGAGTTTCAGACCAGCCTTGGGGTGGGTTCGGGGGGGGGGAAGAGAGAGAGAGCAAGAGAGCGAGAGAGAGAGAGAGAGAGAGATTCTACACTACCCCACCTCCTGTTTCGAGGGCTGTGGTCATACTGCAAGCTTTCTGAATCCTGGCCTTATTTCTAGTTGGCAGACTTGTGCCCTGATAATTATATGTGAAATCAGGACAAAGAAAAAATTTTCATTCGAAAGTTTTGTTCTTGCCTGTGGAATTCACTTAAAAGATCCTCCTTCAAATTAGAAACTGTAAATAATTTTACCCTTGTTTCTGATTTCTTAAGCGATATGTTTTCAAGCAGGGGACTTGAAGCTGGGAAAATAGAACATTAATATTTCCTGTGATATATCAATATTAAGGATTAAAAATTGTGCATGTGGAGGTTCACATGTGTAGGTGGGTGCACGTATGTGTGCATGTGTGAGTATATGTTTGTGCATACGTGGGTGCACAGGTGTGTACGTGTTTGTGCATGTGCTGGTCCACATGTGCGTGTAGAAACAGTAGGCCAACCTTGCGTGGTATCCACCTTGTTTTCTGAAACAGAGTCTTTAACTGGGACCTGGACTCATTGGTTCGGCTGAGCTGACTGATCCTGGGGATCTGCCTATCTTTGCATTGTCGGCTCTGGGATTACAAGTGCATTCCATCACGCGTGTTTTTTTTTTACATGGGTTCTGGGATCAAACTCAGATCCTTATGTTTTCATGTTCTTTACCAACCGAGTCATCTCAGCCCCCAGTTATTTCTTTCATGTTTTAAAATATCTAAATACATGTATATTAAAAAATAGAAATTTTAGTTGGCAATATATTAGTCAACTTCCTGTTGCTGTAACAAACACCTGAGGTAATCAACTTAAAAAAAGGAAAGGTCTACTGTGCTTCATAATTTTGAGGCTTCAGTTTACAGACTGTTGAGTGTATTGTGTTGAGGCAGCACATCATGGTAAGAGTGGGCAATGGAGGAGTTCTTTTACCTAATGGTCAGAACTTGAAGGACAGGAAAGGAAGGAAGAGTTCCACTATGCTCTATCAGGTCATGCCCTGCCTCTTAAAGTCTACCCCGCCTCCGAATAATGCCAACTTGGGGACTTGGCCTTTATCTTCTGGATCTTTCTGGGACTTTCAATACCCAAAGTCTTAGGGTATAATAAGCAAGTTGCTTATTATAGAATGTTCTATGCTGATCTATATAGCATTATCTTCTTTTGGCGGGGGTCAGGCACTGCGGACTGAATGCCAGGTCTTGGGCATGTATATGCTTCACTAACGAACAATGCCTCTCTAGCACTCTTTGTTTATTTTTATTTTAAGACAGGGTCTCATTTAGTTGATCAGGATGGCCTTGCACTCATTTTTTAGTCCAGCCTCGCCTTGAACTTGCGATCTTCCCCCCACAGTCTCTTGAGGGATGGGATTGCAAGTCTAAGCCTCCAGGCCTGACTTTTGCTTTCTTCTTAATGAGTCCACATCATTTCTCATTATGGACATGGTTCAATTTATTTAAACAAATACTCACTGATGGATATTTCAGGTTTTCTTTATATTTCTTCTTGCACAGATTTTAAAAGCCCTTGCTTTGTTAAATGCAAATGTGTTTTCCAGTTTAAAACATACTTATTTTGCAAGAGTCCTGAACATTAGAAATGAATGGTAAAAT